TCTGCCCTCCCTGTGCTCTCTCTCAAAATAAATAAATAAATCTTTTTTTTTAAAAAATAGAAGTGTCACTTATTGAGATCAGGAAGGATGCAAAAGGGACAGGTTTGGGGTCTGAGGTAGTGAGGATTCAAGCATTTGATTTTTAACAAGAAGAGTTTAGCGAATGTTTAGTAGGCAGTTGGATGTAAGAGTCTGGAGTTCAGGGGAGAAGTCTGGGCTGGAGATAGTAACTGGGGAATCATCAGCAAATTGGTAGTTTTGAAGCCATGAACCAGGATGAGAATGCATGGAGTTGCAGAAGAGAGGAGGGTCAAGACTAAGTCTTGGCTGTGCCAGGTCAGAGGGATAAGGAGGACCCAGAAGGAGACTGGGAAGGAATGTAGCGGTTCAGAACGAAGTTGGGAGGGAGGTGGGTGGGAGTGAGAGTGGAGGAAGGGAGTATGGGGTCCCAGAAGCCAAGAAAGAAAACTTTTCAAGATCTTCGAACTGTGTCAAATACTTCTGAGAGTTCCGATGAACACTGAGAATTGACCCTTGGATTTGGCAACATGGAGCATTAACAAGAACAGTTTCTCTGGAGTGGTGGAGAAAGAAACCAGACTGGAGTAGGTGTGAGAGAATGGAAGGAGAATATTTAGAGACAGTGACTAAAGTGACTTTTTCAAGGAGTTCTGGTGTAAAGAGGAACAAAGATGAAGAGATTGGGAGTTCAAATATGAGAGAAATTGTAGCATTATATGCTAATTAGAACCATATATTAGAGCAAAACCATGATGATATAGTAGAGGAAAGATATTTGCTAGAGTGAAAGAGTGGTTTTCTTGAGTAGACAAGCAGGAATGGAATTCAGTGCTCAACGGGGAGGTGTTGGCTCTTGACAAAGTTCATTCAGGAGAGGAGAGGAAAGTACTGGTAGACAGGGGCAAGTAGGCTAGTAGAGTTTTGGGGGGAGGATGAGGAAATGCTCTTCTGGTTGCATTTATTTTCTGCCTGAAAAATGAAGCATCATCTGCTGAGAGAGGGGAAGGAAGGAGGTGTTGGAAGCATAAGAGAGGGAAGGAGGTATAAGGGAGAGTAAATGGGCTAGGGAAGGGGAGTAGAAAGGGTAGTAGGATTGCTGCTCCCTCTTGAGGTTGGGACCCAGTCATGAACTTCAAGTAAAACAAGTCAGCATGGATGTGTATTTTCTCCAATTGCAACCAGCTGCTCAGGCTCAGTATAGTCAGTCCAGGGATGAGTTGGATTTAACCTGGGTAGAGGACAGAGGAGGAAAGGAGTTGAGCGTGAATGCAGAGGGATGATTAAAAGGATGCCCACAGTCCAGTGCAGTGGGGCTGAGGAATTGTTGGCAGCAGAGGGAAAGAGTTGGAGGTGGTAGCTGGAGAGTGGGATGCTGGCGATTAAGATTATGGAGAGGATATGGCCATTGGTAATAATAATACCTAGGGTATCATGAGGGAATGCAGGGCTGAGGTAGGATGCAGTTAAAGATCTATTAGAGGAGAGAATATCCAAGAACTAAGAAGCTGGGGGAATGAAAGAATCTCTACATAGCTATTAAAATCACTAGAATTATGGTAGGGGTAGTGTTGCTTTGGGATGGTGAGTAGCGCTGAAATGCTCAGTGAGTGAGGGAGTGATAGGCCTCTGTGGATGAGTGCACCCAGGAGGGGTAGGTTTCAAGGGTTGGAGGGAGGAACGGCGATCTGGAATTCGCAGTGGCAGTCAGGACGCCGTCACCTCCAGGCCCTGAGGTATGAGGGCTGCGGTTGAGGACAGTATGGACCACTAGAGGGGGGTGTGCTCGGGATGGCATTTAGATCTCAGAGTGCCCTGTTCCTTCGGAACTAGATCACCTGAAGAGATTATTTTACTTCATTTTTTAGAGCTTTTAAAATAATACAGATGCCTGGTGCCATCCCAGACCATTTAAATCAGAATCCCTGAACATGTGTGAGAGTTCCTGTTTCCTCACATTCTGACCAATATTTGGTATTATCAGATGTTTTAATTGTTGTCCATCCCAGGTGTGTACAATGGTGTCTCCTGGGTGTCTTAATTTGTATTTTCCCATATCCTAATGCGGATGCATTCTTTATATCTTTGATCTGTTTACTTTCCTGTTGTCCATCTGTTTATATCCTTTGCTAATTTTCCCCCACTGGGTTTGTTAGTAATTTTCCTATTGGCTTCTAAAAACTCACTATATATTTTGGATATTAATCCTTTTGTGGTTATATGTGTTGCAAATATCTTTTTCCTGCATGTGGCTTGTCTTTTTTTTTTATTCAGCAGATTTGGATTTTAATATCAATATTTAAATTACCAATTTTATTTCTAGTGGTTTGTATATTTTGTGATATAATTTTCATATAGCTTGTTTTAAAGCTGTTGGTAAACACAAGTATTTATTGACTGATTTTCCAGGGAAAGAGAAAGGCAGTTTTTTAAAAAGTAAAAATCATCAAAATAATGTTTTGCTCTGTCTACATTGGGATAGTATATTTGCCATTCTTAGACTGTTATTTTACCTATCCCACTATGACACTGTTTTGTTTTGTTTTTTTTAAGATTTTATTTATTTATTTGAGAGAGACAGCAGGGGGAGGGGCAGAGGGAGAGGGACAAGCAGACTCTGTGCTGAGTGTGGAGCCTAACTTGGGGTTTGATCTCACAACTCCGAGGTCATGACCTGAGCTGAAATCAAGAGTGGGACATTTAACTGACTGAGCCACCCAGGCGCTCTGTCACTGTTTTAAAAATAAAGCCAATGCATGTACCTAGTAAAAAAAATTCAAAAAGGACAAAAGAGCATGAAACGGTGAGTAAAAATCTCTCTCTCCTTTGGTTCTTCTGCTCAAAGGTAACAGTTTCTTAAGATTTTTATGCATATACCAGCATATGTATGTAGACCCTGGTGCCAGTTTCCTGTGGGTGTCATAACAAATTCCCACAAACTGGGTAGCTTAAAACAACAGAGAGGTTCATTCTCTCCCAGTTCTGGAGGCCGGAAGTCCAAAATCAAGGTGTTCGCAGGGCTGTTGGCTTCTGATGGTCCCAGGCATTCTTTGGCTTGTGGCTGCACTCCAATCTCTGCCTGTTTTCCCGCCTGCTCCTCTCTCTCTGTCTCTCCTCTGTGGGTCTTGTAAGGACATGTGGTATCTTCCACGGCAGCCTGGTGTGGTGCAGAAGCACACAGATGCTGGGGCTGGATTTCATCTGGGTTCAGACCCCCGGCCCCAGTATGCACAACCTTGGACAGTTACCTGATGGTTCCTCCCCTCAGCACCTTTCTGAGGGTAAAGTGAGTTAATATTTGTAAAGTACTCAGAACAATGCCTGGACAGAAGATAACCTAAGTAAATATCTGACAGACCAGATTTTATGCAAATGATATCACACTCTCCTTGTTTTTCTTCACTTAATAGTATATCCTGAAGTCTTTCCATCTCAACATGTAAAAATGTAAGGCTTGTATAGAATTCCAAAGCTCCTTACTATAATAACTACTCTTCTGTGTCAAGCACGATTCCAGCCACTTTATATTCATTATCTCCCCCCAAAATCACAAATACTCCCATTTGGGATAAATAAATGGAAACTCTGAGAGGTTAAGCAACTTGCCCAAGATGTTCTTGGTATTGTGAGTTCAGCCCAGTACTGTCTGTTTCACTGTGATCCTGTCATTTGTCTGAATTCTAACAGCCTCAACAGGAATAGTCTCCCTGTTCCCGAAAACCAGCATTGTGAAATGTCCTTACGAGTGTTTGTTAAATCATCGAGCGATGTAACCAAATCTACAGTGATGGGTCAATGTGTGTGCATGCACGTCGTGTATGTAAATGTGTGTGTGTATTTTCTTAAACACTTCAGACCAGTGTTGCTTGAAATTCCCTTAAAACCTCAGCTGGCCCCCTTCTCCTCTGCCTGTTTCACAAAGCTGACCTCCCAGTGCCACAGATACCTTGTGGCTCCCCCGCTATTCCCTTTCGCTGGCCCATCAGAGACCCATCCGCTCCTTGCTGGCCCTCCCTGGGCCTGAGAAGACTTCCTGTTATGGTTGATGAGTAAGAATGAATAGTAAGAAGCTAGCCTGTCCCTTCCTCCTGAAAGCAGAAGTGATTCTTACCCAAATTTCTCACTTTGTTAGGGGCCAGATTGTAGGGTCTTAACTTGTTTTTCATAAAGATGAGGTAATGCTGGACAGTGGGATTGATTCTAGAATAATTATTTAACTCATATGTTCAGTTCTTTATAGGATCTTGATTAAGTGGAAAGTCTTGGGACTTGGATATCCTGGCTGCCTGAAGCGTCTGGTTAACCAGACAGCTTCTTTTTGTATCAACCTTTGTTGACTGTTCTAAAATTATTCTAAATGGCCTTTAGAAGATTGATTTTTATTTCGTCCCACAGCATCTCAGGGTCATTTATTATTCTAGAATTAAGAATTCATGCATCTATTGGCCCTTACTAGCTGCATGACTTTGGGCAAATTCTGCAGCCCAAGGCTTAGTTTCCTCATCTACAAAATGGGCACAATCATAATATCTACCTCGAGGGATCGTTATTACCATCAAATGTGATAAATGGCATAGAAAGTCAATAACACAGTGTGTAGTACACAATGAAAGCCCAATAAATGTGATTAATAGTAAAAAAAAAAAAAGAATTAATCCATCTAATAATACCAAATGTTGGTCGGAAGGTGGGGAAACAGGATGCAACTTCCCCCAGGTGTGGCTATATACATAGGTATCAACTACTAAACTTTCCTTGAAAGTTGATTTTTCCAAAAAAACCCCAAATCTTAGCCCTAAGTTTATTTTACTTTACGGTACCTCATCCAGCTAAAGTAATGCTCCAAAATAGCTTGATAAGGGTGGTTGCAGTTATTTTGGAAATGTTAAATATGCTGATCATAGAAAACAGGCCACGTTCAATAACTCTACCCTGGTGACACTTTAACACTCTGGCTGCAAACTCTTACAGATAAATCTTACCTTAGAAGAAACATTTTCCTTCCCAATGAAATTGTCCTGAACTGTGTGCTCGTACGAGCTTAGAAATTGGATTACTGTTTAAGTCCGTAGCCCAGACCAAAAAAATCTTGCTGACCCACGTGCTTTTCACATGACCTTCAAAGAGGAAATTCCTATGTCGGTGTAATTCCAGGAAGGCTCAACAGATGGCATAAAATCGTTTCTGTGGCACCGCGGTACTTAAACCAAGGACCTGCATTTGCTTTCTCCGTGCGTTTTTGAAAGTTACTTTCTCTTCTGGGAAAGAAACCTCCCGGTAAGTAAGTAGACTTTTGTGGCTTGTTCACATTACGGCATCGAGGACCTCAAATACGCTAGAGAATGCCAACGATGGCGACACCGGAGACAGGTACCGCTTCTTGGAAATGTTTGCCAGATGATTTTCAGTGTCCTTTTAATTTCCAAGAACGATAAAAAAAAAGTGGGGGTGTCTTCCCGGGCTGTCTTGAAAAGACGTAAAAACAACTAGCACTTGCAGCCATCGTTCAGGGAAAACACTGATGTTATTTCTTCTGTTTCCGTCTACATTTCTCACCTCTGTCTAGTTGCTGGCTTCCAGTAACGTTTACAGCAGTTTCTGCCCCTCCCGCGGGCAAGTTATGTGTTTTTATAGGAGACGGACGGGAGCCTTTGATCTCCCCCGTCACGTGAAGCTGTAGTTCCTTCGGATCTGTCACTCAGGTAGCAGCACTTTGAAAGCAGGAATTATGTCAGCGCTCTTCGTATTTCCAGCCCTGGCTCCTGACACCTGGCACAGTACGTGCGCTCGGAATAAACATTTATTAAATGGTGGAAGTGGCAGGGATGGGTCTAGCACTACTGTCTTCCAGGTCTCTTACCTAAACTTCGGCAAATAAAGCAATGCCTTTCTTTCTTTCTTAGTTAACTTAACTATGGATTCACACTTACCTCAATGTTTTGTTCATCGTGTCTTTTTCGTAGTTTTAATTTTCATAGATCCTATCCGCCAGAGGTCCCCCCCCTTGAAATAGAGCTTCTTTCATCTGTCTTTTTTTCCCCCTCTTTTTGTTGGATGCATTAAAGAAAAAAAAACTTTTACCTTTGATCTCTTTTTACTTGCTTTTAAAGCAAATTATGAACTCTCTGACCGTCTGCTCCCTCTTTTCCCTCTCCTTTATTTTGCTTAAATAGAAAAGCTCCTGGCTGGCTTGTTAAGTATATACACTAGGAGCTGCTTGAGAATACAAATGCTCTTGGAGGAATATTGGGGCGGGGGGGGGGGGGAGGATGTTCCCAGGGCAGCTGGTCAACTTTCCTACATGGTAGTGGAGTTTCAGTCCCCTGAACAGACACCATGGAGGGACCTCTCGGTGCGTTCTCATCCATGAGTGTCAACGATCTACTATCGTGTGGAAAAAGTTCTCTGTATGTATCAATATTCCAAATAATATAAGCAGGTTTCTTTAAATATAAAATATTTTTACATTAGCTATATTTTGAGACAAACCTTTTGAGTTACAAAATGTTCAAAATTAGAAATTTTACAACTATATACAAAAGTATAAGAAAGAATATTAAATGTATCTATGATTCAGAGATCCAGAGATAACCACTATTAGCATTTGGTATATTCCCTCCTAATCTCTTTTTCCCAAGGCTTTGTGTATTTTGTCAGGTTTTAATCATATTTTACAAAATTCAAGTCCTACTACAAACAGGATTTTGTATTCTTTTATTCATTATATTATTTATAGCTTATATTTAATATAAATATAAATTATATTTACATAACATATATTACTTCAAAAGTACAATATTTGAGGCTGCATGAGGCTACCTATTCAGTTTTATAGGTATACAATAACTGATTAAACTGTTTTCTAGACTAGACTTTATTTTTTTTTTCAATTTTTCATCATGTCACAAGCATTTTTATAGTAATAGTTTTATGTGTATTTCTGATAATTCCTTTAGGAGAAAATTCTGAGGAGTGGAATTGCTAAAATAAGGGGAAGCATGTTTGTAAGGAATTTCTGTATGTGACCAAATTGCCCTTCAGAAAGCTTGTACTAATTTTTCATTTCTGCCAGTAGTAAACAAGAGTTCTTATTTTAGTCACACCTACCAATGCTGGCTATTATATTTTTTAATTCTTCCAGTTTGGTAGGTAAAAATAATCATACTTTTTTTAATCTTGAAGAAACAAGAATTCCCATTTGATTCACTTTATCTTTTTATGCTTAAATAAATTATAGACATCATAACATTCTCTCTGTAAATGCTTCATTCTATATCTCTAAAAGAAGTACATTTTCCTACATGGCCAAAGCACATTATCAAAAATTAACATTTATTATTTTTTAATAGACTCCAATGCTGGGTCCATCCTAAAATCCCTTCTTCCTTTGTTATTCAAGTAACCTCTTTGCTGGGTCTGTCTAAACTGAGATCCAGAACATGATTCATCTACATGTTAGGTCCTGTCTTGTTTTAATATGCATTTTTTAAAAATTCAAGTATGGTTGACAGGCAGTGTTACATTAGTTTTAATACATTAGTATCAGTTCACAACATAGTGACTCAACAAGTCTAAATGTTATGCAGTGCTCATCCCCGGTGCGGTTACCGTCTGTCACCATATGATACTATTACAATGACATTGACTATATCCCCTATGATGTACCTTTTATCACCTTGTTGTATTCATTCCATAACTGGAAGCCCATACCTCCCACTCCACTTCACCCATTTTGCCCATCTTCCCACCCCTCTCGCCTCTGGGCCACCACCTGTTTGTTCTCTGTATTTATGGGTCTGTTTTCTACTTTTTGTCATTTATTTGTTTGTTTTTTAGATTCTACATATAAGTGAAATCATAGGGTATTTGTCTTTGTCGGACTGACTTCACTCAGCATTACAGGTCCATCCACGTTGTTGCAAATATCATCATAGATTTGTTAATAATAATAAGCCATTCTTACAGTATTAGGAAAACCCTAATTAATCATTATGTATTACTCCTTCAGTTAGGAGCTAGATGGATTAGGATTTCTTCATTCTGAGCTTCTCCCCACCACCAAATGATTGGAATTTATCTCTTTTATTTGTATTTTCTAGTAATTACTCTTAATTTTATAATATACATACTTAGACTTGTATTTTTCTAGTAACATCTTGAATTAACTGGTATCTATCTATAGATTCTCCTTAATCAGGCAAGGACATAGCATGCTTTTAGTTCACTCTCTCCCTCTCCCCCACTGTCTACTAACTCCCTTGTAATTGTTGGCAATTTTAGTTCCATATTTTTGTTAAAATTTTTGTCATCCATACTTATTGGAATTTAGCACTAATTTTTCCTACCTTCTTTGCAAAGTATTCCTTCTTGGGTCCCCTTTATTGCCTTTTTGTGTGTGTGTGTGGAGGGGAGTCAGTTTATTTTTCAAAGGATAGTCTGTCCTCTGGTAATTCAGATGGTGGATCTGTCTTCCAAGTCTTTTCGTATTTCTTGTTTATATCATCACTTTGGCCTCTTGTGCTGTGTTTTGGGAAAATTCCCTCCTTGGTCTTCCATCTCACAAATTCTCACATCAGCATTGACACTCTGCAACTCAACTCATGCAATGAGTTTTCCATTTCAGTTATTAAGTTTTTAATTTCCATGATCCCTACTCCATTCGTTTTTAGAATACTTACCTCTCTCTGAGGATATCTATCTATTATCAATGGCTATTCAGCTCTTTCATCTCTGTTTCCTTGGGGGTTAACTTCTCTCTCTTTTTTTTTTCCATTTTAAAATAGTTGTTTAGGTGTTAACTTCTCTTATATCTTGAGTTTGGTTCCTTTCCATCATGGTGTTTGTTTTGTAAGTGTCATGCTTTTTGATTGTGCAACCCAAATTGTGGTTGAAGCTCCATGTCAAACTGCTTGTTGATCTGTTTTCACAGCCTGTTCGTCAGAAGGGTGGGCCAAACTAGTCTGTATTAATTTTATATTGCTGCTGTAGCAAATTATCACAAATTCAGTGGCTTAAAAAACACATCTATTATCTTACAGTTATGTAAATTAGTACTCCAACATAGGTCTTGTTGGGCTTATATAAAGGTGTTGGCAAGGCTGCATTCCTTCTGGAGGCTCTAGGGTAGAATCCATTTACTTGCCTTTTTGAGTTTCTGAATGCTACCTGCATTTCTTGGCTCATGGCCCCTTCCTCATGGCAACTCAAGCCCTTCTCACATCAGGTCACTCTGACCCCCTCTTCTGCCTCCCTCTTCTGTTTTTAAGGACCCTTGTAATTACACTGGTTCTACTTGAATAATCCAGGATAACCCTCTTATTTTAAGGTCAGTGAATTAGCAAATTTAAGTCCATCTTCAACTTGAATTCCCTTTTTCCATGTAATAGCATATTTGCAAGTTCTGGGGTTAGGAGGTAGACATCTTTCAAAAGCTAGTACTCTATCATAGTCCAATCTGCTTGTAATTTTCAGAGACTTCTCTTGGTTTCAGTTCCCCTAAAGACTTCTCTTCCTGACTTTAAATATGTGTGTGTGTGTGAGTGTGTGTATTTTTCTCCCGCATCATTTAGGGGATTTAGGGCAAGAGGAGGAGGCTAGAGTATGTGCACACCACATTGTTGACTCTCATAGTTCTTAATGTCTGTAATTGAAAATGTGATTTTCTTGATCTAGAAGATGTTTAGAACATTTTTAAAAAGTGGTTTAAAAAGTTTATTTTGTAGTCTGATAAATGACTTTACAAATTTCTGCTTTGGAGTATTTATTAAAAAATTTATTTGACTTAAGAATCAATATTAGCAAATGCTCCATGAAAGGGGACTTAGTACAATATTCTCTTTCTATAGGTTCAAAGTCTCTATTAAATCCTTTATTAATTATTTTATTCAAATCCTCATATGCATATCTTATGTGCTTGATCTAATTGTGACCCAGAGAAATGCACTACATGTCTTCACTATCAATATCTCCTTGTGTTTTTAGCATTTTTGCTTTGTAAATTTTGATGCAGTTATTCACTGTGAAGTGTCTTTCTCTGTTATATTTTCACTGTGAGCTATTTGTTTTAACCAGTATGAAGTAGTAAACTCTCTTATCCTCATTGCCCACTTCTCTGATACTTTGACCTAATGGAGTATTACATATACAAACTGCAATTCCTGATGAATACAGCCCCTAGTGTTCTTATCTTTGCCCTTTTACAAG